ATGTTAATCGGGAATATGAGCTATAATCATGCCAAATTTCAGCCCAATCCGTCCAGTGGTTAAAGCGTGATTGACCTTCAAACAAACAAACAAACAAACACACAAACTTTCACATTTATAATATTAGTAAGATAAATTTTAACGAATTCATTCCGAAGGTTGGAACTCCTAAAGGTTCCCGCATTCTGCCTTGTGGCCCTTAGGGTACTGGGTGTGAGTCCCTGTCTGTTCTTAATTGTTTGGGTCCGTGCATTATAAATTTATTTTTCGCAAAAACGTCGTCATTTTGAAACTTTTGGTATATATTAAATTAAAGTAACTTGCAAACGTTAAAGAAATAAACGAACTTATAATCAGACAATCTAACATATATCATCCGAACCACAAAATTAAATGGAATACTAATAAAAAGTTAATCAAACTATTGACTTTCTAATCAATACCAATTGTTGACAAAGTTCCGTTTAATAAAACAGAGTGCCCCAAGCGGAATATTGTAAACAATAACGTCACATTTGCCCCAAGATGGAGATAAGGTTTGCAATATGTTCAAGCCACATTCCGGGTCAAAACAGCACCAATATATCTCGTCCTTTTGGTCAGTATATCTTGCTTTGTTGTGCTGTGGCACTGCTACCAACGTTTCTGTAGTAATTTCAAATTCATCGTGCTGCTCCTGCCATCCATATGGGCCCTATTACTAAAAGTCATTATAATACAGATATAGACAGCATTTTGACAGTAACTTAATTTGTATGTAGATCATACATTTTTGTCCTAGGACGATAGGAGGAGTCCAGTATTGTTTTTCTCATTTTAGGCTAGACCTAGGGGTTGCAGCGTTATCACTTTGATCAAATCCATTGTTATTTTGGCAGTATTCGAGCCTGGGACCTCAGGCACCGAATTCCAGCACTCTACTAATAGATCAGCTCGATCCATAGTAGATCAGACGTTCTATCAGAATGATCATTCTGATAGAACGTCGATCATACATATGATCCTCGGTCGGAATGTCTACCTGGCATCTAAAAGGTCAATGATAATGCCAGCTAAAGAAAATTATATTAAATAAATAAACACAACTCATATTGCTCTATTCTACATTCATCCCAAATTCAAAATTTGGTTAAACTACTCCCATACCTCATTTAATTGGCAATTTTTAGAAGGTAAATGTTAAAGCAACTGGAAAGCTTCGTTGTTCACAGGCAAAACAAAGCATTAGAGCATCTTATGTCAACTCAGAGATGAATAATTGAGGAGGCTGGCCCCCTGAGGATGAGGGTGTATTAATCATTCAGCTCCGAGGTGTAGGAGACATTCCTTATGTGTACAACTGCTTCACATCTCTCACACCAATAAGTGTGTTTAACTTTAAATGTATTCCCATAGGTTAGGTGATTTTCAATGTTCTTGAAGAGAAATTTTGAACCGGATTTGTATCGCTAAATTTGTAGAGTTTAGTCATGAGACTAGAATGTATACTAGAGAGAACTATTAGGACTTAGAATACGAGGAGGGGTAAAGTAATAATGCAGTTACTGAAGAGTAATACAAAGTAATTGAATTTTGCGTTTAGATTCCTGGATGTAATTTAAGTTTGTATTTAGATATGTGGCACAACGCCAACTACCTAAATGGAAACAACCAGATGCTTAAGAAAAGTAATTGAGTCTAGTAGCTTAGATCTATTATAAATTGCGGTTAAAATCCAAAAATAAAAACCATTACGGCAGTAGTATTAGAGTTAGGAAAATGTGCACTGGCTAATAATATTTTAAACTTTCTTAGCTATTTTAAATTAGTTTTAGAAATCTATTCATTTTAGGAATTTAAAATTCTTAAATTTTTAAGATAAATAGATTTTTTTATATTAAAATAGTAAAATCTTGTGGCCATCTGAAATTTAAATGTTTCACAATAACAAAAAAGTCTTCCATAAGGTTAGCCTATCTATTTTTTATCAAATTGAAACGATGTACACATTGGTTTTTGCATTTGTTTTTATTGCCTTTGAAAGTCATTTTTAAGGAAATTCATCACAATAAAACATTAGAATATGATTTTCATTATCACAAGCGTATGAACTATTATATCAGAATTTGATATAACTCTTCATCTACAATGCAACGCTTAATTGGAAATGTATATCTCTTATTCAATGTCAAGTTTAATACCGTGTAATGCAACTGGAAGGGATATTAATCTAAGTCTTAATCCGTCAGCTCGTTTTAGTTGATGCCTTTTAATATTTTATGATGCTGTCTACCAATCTGTTCTCTTAATATGTAAAACGATTTGAAGCTATTGTATTGAATTTTCTATACGAGGAATAAGATTTTCATCTTAGCGTTATCAATTTCATATTTTTTAAAGTATTTTATTTAGGTAATATTGACAATACTGTTTTATATATTTAAAACATTGCTTAGCGAACAACTAATTTGGTTTCTTTTCAGTTCATGCTCCAAGCTTCATGTGATCATTTTAAATGTTTGTAGAAAGTATTCTGGAGGAACTAACCGGTGATACAAAAAATAAACTCAGTTTTTGATATTAGGTACTTTTTAAAACATAATTTTAAGGCTCATTTGTTGATCAAGCATTATTCATAAATTTAGTTTCATTTGACAATAACATACATGTTATCTCGCTTTAGACTAGGTCTATTCTTTTACCTTGATCTTGTGTTCCTCGTTTCAATCCGAAAAACCATTTATCCACTCAAAATTTTCAAAACAAAGTATACAATTAGTGGAATGGAAAATAGGTTTGATGAACACCATAATTTATTATAGCTATAACCTAGTGTTAATGTTTAGGATAGCTGGGACATTGCTGTTTAATGTAAGTTCAGTAACATGAAAAATAGATAGCAATAAAGTTACAATTTATTAGATTGCTGTGGTGGAGGAAAGCCCTGCTGGGAATCAGATGACCAACCATAAGTCAAGCATCTCTGTTAGATTCGCTTCTTGTTCCTAGTGCAAAGTAATAGTCAGGGTCCTAAATAGAGAATATACAATAAAGATTAAAACATTATTCATTTCTTGTAATTGATTTATCGAATGAAGTGTCAATATGAAGGGGAGAGATATTCCTACATAAATGATTTGGCATTCAATACTCTCTAAATAAAGTAAGTCATTAAGAAACTTAAAACTGCAGCTCACAACATAGTATATTTTTACAAGGTTCATAGTTAATTCGTCATAACTATTTTGGACACAATGTTTGTCGATGAATGTACAACTATTTCAGTATACAATTCAGTGATTTTCAACAAGGGAGTTTGTTTTCAAAACAACTAATCTCAGATTATGGCTTGTTTAATAATCTCGTTCAGACAGTTTTCATTTCGCCTTCGAAACACGTAGATCCTGTAACTTAAAAAATATATAGGCTAGGCTACTTTGATTTTAAGTTTCTAAATTTACATTTCCTAACATTGTTTGTTTTCCTGTTTCCTAATGGTATTCCTAGTAAACGTTGTAGTCTTAAGTCATGCAGAATGTATAATTGTGCTACAGGCAATGAAAGATCTTACTTCACTATTTCTTTGGTCAAATATCGTAACAGTTTTTTTTTCATAAGCAATTTAAACTTTTTATGATAACAATTTTTACAATGTACAATTTTACAATATACCTTTAAGCAAATTCACGTACAATAAAACATAATGTAATTGAAAAATATTATAACACGATATAATATTATAAAACTATAGTAGTATGAACTTACTTCACAAATAAGATAGTAAAAAAATGCATAGTAATGCATCTGAATTAATCTGTGATATCCAAATATATACACTGTTCTTTGAAATCACATCGTTACTAAAGTAAAATGAGATACCGCTCCACACTGTTTTGTTAGGTCCACTGTCTCCGTCGTGTTAAAATAAATATTTGGTTTCCATTATTTTATAATTAGTTTCTCTTGAAGTCTCTTATGTTTAACAAAGTTTTGAATATGATGGAACTCTTTTTTTTCAGGAAAGTCAACAGACTATGGGAAGAGGTTTTAAAATGTGTTTGTTCTACCTCAATTGTAATTGTCTAGTTATTTTTCATGAGACTTGTTGAATATTAAAAATCGCGTTCCTTCAAATTATATACTATATATATTGTACTTCAAGGAACGGAATAAAAATATTAATAATGCAAGCGATATTAAAAAACATCTAATGTTTAAACAGTTTTTGAATCCAATGAAAATATTTTTAAAAGAGTACACGACATCAATTGGTAAACAATGCAAGGAGAAGAAGGTGCTAGTCAATCATATTTAGTGATTTGATTAGGCAAATGGGCGCTGGTTTAGTTAATATTATCACTTACTAGTATCTTTCATCAACGTGATTTTTAATAATAATAAAATCTCAATAAAAGGTTCAAGTGCTTTTGTAAACGTCTACTTTAAACTCAATTAATTATTTCATGATATTTTTATGGACAACAAATTTATATTTAATTTTTAATATTTTAATAGTAAAAATAATACCAACCAATGATTAACATTTATAACTGGAAAAATAACTGGCCGATTGAAAATACCAGGTTTTTTTTAAAACTGAGCTTTTGATATTAATAGAAGGTATCCTGAAGACCTGAGTTCAGGATTTCAGATATCCTGCTGTGACCCAGTGGTTCGTAGCCCACTTTCAGTTGCTAGTTTCTCTTATCTAGAAAAAATATATTTTTCTCATGGGAGGAGAACATTATTTTCATTTGAAGGAAAAGTAAATGAGGATCTCCGTCCACTAAAAGGCAAACTACATTTTAATTTTGGGTAGTTGTGACTATATACATATGCCTTTTGATTATTCTGTAGTGAGTACATCTTCTGCCAATAATAATACCATGACAGTACTTTAAATTTGACCATAGGTCAAACAAATTTCGACTAAACAAAATTATCCAATAGCTTGACTACATATAAAGTAAACGATATCTCGGTTTAAAATTGAAACTGATAAGTTATGTTGTCTGTTTCAGTGTCTGACTTCACACAAGAGCTATCGCAGATGTATGAACAACACGCGGAAGAACTGCAGCTATTGGTCGCTAACTTTAGGAAGAAAAACGCAGAACTTAGGAAAGAACGGTGAGTAGAGGTGACAATTATCAGGGTTGTAATCACCCTAAAACTGCCAAAACCAAGGTTAGGAGATTAAACAAACTCAAAATTAAGGTTAAATTGCATATGATTATTGCAGCCTGGAAATGTCGGTTAACTTTATATCTTTATTTTTGTTTATTTCTTTTAAATGTATTTTCGCTGTAAGTTGTTTTGCCAATGGTAAATAAAAAATGTAAAAAAATTGTGTCAGTACTGTATTAATCACTCTGAAAAATAAAAGTTTACTCGAACTAAATTATTTAACATACCGCAAATTTAATTTGACTTGCTTTAGGATATAAAAAAAACTGAAAATGAATGTTATCTTGTATCAGGATATTAACAATCTGACATGAAGGTAAACTTGTATAAGAATATTAACATCCTGAAAATGAAAGTTAACTTGTTTGAGGATACTAACACCCAGCAAATGAATGTTAACTTGTATCAGAATATTTACACCCAGCAAATGAAAATTAACTTGTATCAGAATATTAACACCCAGCAAATGAAAGTTAACTTGTATCAGAATATAAACATCCTGAAAAGGAAGGCTATCTTGTAACAGGATATTAACAATCTGAAAAGGAAGGTAAACTTGTATCAGAATATTAACATCTTGAAAACAGAGGTTAACTTGTGTCAGGACAGTAACACCCTGAAAATGGAGGCTAACTTGTACCAGGATATTAACAATCTGAATATAAAAGTAAACTTTTATCAGAATATTAACATCCTGAAAATTAAGGTTAGCTTGTATCAGGATACTAACACCCAGAAAATAAAGGTTTGACTTACATCAGTATATTAATCCCCCTGAACATGTTGGTTATCTTTCATTGGGATTTTAAGCACATTAAAAAGATGTTTTGACTTATGTCAGGATTATTAAACACTTAAGAAGTCTTGGTAAGCTTAAATGCAAACACACAAATCGTTCATCTGAGGATATTAGTTTGGTGCTATCTAAGATGTTAAGAAAATATATTTACTATTGTATTAATATGAGAATGATTTTACATTATAATATATAGGTTTGTGAACAACAATTTAATCCCAAGGTGATAGTGCAGATATATATAACAGAGCACAATAAAATCTAGTGATACTTTAGGCTACAGGTTGGTTAGTCATCTACATAAAAATACCAATATCCATGTGACGGCACATGCTTTTTCAAGTCGAATACCAACATTTATCTGTAAAGCCCTATTTACTCGTGAAACTACATATTTTTTCTACATTTTCAACTTTTTTTTATCTTATTGTTCATATTAATTTTCCTTGGCAGTCCGGCCTGTCCCAGTTCACTATTTCACACCTGGGAGACCCTGCTACAAGAGGTGGAGGTAGACTCCCAGGCTCACAGCGACATCGCCTCTGTGTTCGGCCGTCAGGTTTCTCGACCCCTCCTAGAGCGATCCTTCCACCGCAAGGTCCAGGCGAGGAAGGTCTTCGCCCACCGGGAGTCGTTTGAGCTTGTAGTCAACAAAGCTGAAGAGAAACTAGCCAAGGTAAACTTATCATGAGATCAGTTTAGATATTGGCGAGTGTTGTTGTGACTCTATCGATACGGGGCTATATAGCCCTGCTATCGATATATGGTCACGTATATTATATACATTTACAGTTTGAGTTTAGATGCATCAAAAGTGTCGAGAGGCGCATTTTATAATATTCATAAACTTATATTATTCTTAATTTTATAATATTCATTCAGCACTAAATTGTAAAACATTTTCTGTCACATAAGAGAAACTAATGAGGAGGGCTGCTGATTCATTGGTGCAATCCAGTTATGGGTTTAAAGTATACAGATATTCTTTCGAAATGATCCGGTTCAAATGTTACGCTAATAACAACCATCAATGAATATTATTTTGTAAGTAAAAATCTAGCTACTTACCAGAACTTATGAAATAAAAATTAAGGCCATAAAATGAGTAATTTAATCTACCTAAAGGACTTCATAGAGGCCTTTTGAATAGGATGGATAACATTTTCTAATGCAATTGTAAGTGCATTCAAAATGTAAATAAGCCATTTAAATTGTAATACAAAATAAGACGTATAGTTCTTAATATCATTGGATTTGTTATATCACTGGATAGTCAAAGTAATATAATTTATATTTTAAATGGTGAGCACAAACACTTAGGTAATACCTTGTTTTGTTGCTTTAGTGATAGTTAAGTTTATTCTGAGAGGATTAGTTTTCAATTATGTTGAATCGTTGAACATCGTCAACTTGATAACTTTTGCAACAAATTTCTCAAGTTATTATAAAGTCAAAGCTACATCCTGTTCTACTTAAGACTTTGGCGGAAATATTATCTGGATTAACAGTAGAAAAAGGTGACTTTGAACAGCCCTCGAATGGGTTATACTTAAAATTTTGTTTCTACTGTAATATTATATTTTTCTTATTCTTTAAAAACCTTCAAAAGTGTGAATATGATAAATGTTATTCATAATTTAAGAAACCACAAATTGGGTTATTGAAATTTACATAGAAAGATAACGCAAAATTGTAATCCTATGTATACGATTTTGCCAAAAATTTGAGTTGTAGAGTCCAGAGAAATTCTATTCCATTGTGTACAACCACAACATCCCTACCTTGGCCACAACTACTCAACCTTAACCATAACTGATTCTATTTAAAACCACGCTCAATCCACATCCGCCATCCCTTGCTATTTCACATTGTAAATATGTACAGTTTAATTTCTCTGTATATTTGAGGTTTTATGTTTAATTTTCAATGCTACACTGTTTATTTTCTTTTTTTTAGTGTTAAAATATTGATTGCGTGGATAATAGTTTAAACGTATTCTCGCTTTAAACATTTAAAATGTTATTTATATAAATCTCATGCCTATACCTTAACTACTTAATGTTGATGTTTGAAAAACAAAGCTTTGTACTTATTTCACCTAAGTCTTCATGTCAGTGCTAAATATAAGTAGTAAATCTTTAAATTGATATATATATATATATATATATATATATGTTATTCATTATCGAATTGTCAATTTGTAAGTTTTAAGTTGTTTAAGGTTCTTTAAACCTAGTGTTTTGTTCAAACATGAGATCGACTGGCTTACTGAACTTAAATTATAAATTAAAATTATAAACTGTTTTCATATACTATACAGTTTTTTTTTTACTTCTTCAATAAATAACAACAAAATGGTAAATACCTTTAGAAAGCAAAATAAGAAAAATCATAAAATGTATTTTGGTAGTATTACCAATATATTCTTGGAGATGTAAACAATATTACATACCTTTGTGCCAATGATTAAGAGCATAACAAATATTTCTCCTAGTTTCTTCATAACACTTTTTAACCGCATTCTACTTCGATTGATTGTGAATTATTAGGATAAATAAGAATTTGCCCAATAATAAATTCAAACGCATGTATTTTGTTTTGAACTTTTAAGAAATGTTTGTAAATATTGAAAATAAATTGATTAAATATTTAAAGTACTGTACTACATCTATCATACCAATATCTTACCAAAAATGGTCTTCAACTCCAATTGTTTATCATTCTTAATTTTACAGAAAATTAGAATATCATCCTTTATTAATTTATAGTTATAATTGGCTCATTTGACGTTAAAAATTGTTTGAATCGTTGAATACGAGTAAGCATAAACGGATCCTTGTAGCAACAAGCAACAGTTTGCAGGAAGTAAACTTTCAAACACTACATAATGGATGTTTTCTAGTTAGGTAACAATAGATGCTTTTAGCGAAATTTGATGTTGCCAGTCAATTTAACGTAAAAGGAAAGCATTGGAACTGAGTCTGTTTTTCTTTGTACATCCAAAATAACAAACAGACTCAATTTAAACTTCTTCTCCACTTATATTTGAACTAACTTAGTTAAAACTGAATGGTTGGTTATAATTTAGGTTGGTAAAAACTGCACATCGAAAACGTGAAATTATTTTCCAACAACATAATTTTGACATGGCGGAAAAATCTTTGGTTTAATCGTACAAGGAGGTAAGGTTTCATTCAAAGAATATCTAGGCCATATGATTAGGTAAAGTGTTATAAATTAATTCCAAAACTTAAAGCTTGTACCTAAGGCTTGATTTATAATTGTATCTTATACTTCCACAAAGTTGAACGTAAAGGAAAGTATTCTTAGAATATATTCCTTAAGCTGGTTTTGTGACATTGGATCTTGACTGGGTTTAACATTGGAAGAGTTCGATCAACTGTTAAAGTTATTCGTGCGGACTCTTCTGAGAACCTCCTGTGTATAGGCACAAAACGAATTCGGTTTGAGAAATAATATTAGTAAAAAATTCGGTTTTCTTAACAGGGTAACAAAACTAATAAATAAACTTCGTTTGTAGTATAACCTAGACTCATACCCAATATATAGCAGTTAATATAGGTAAAAGACAAATATTAAAGTTCAAGTTTTATACAATACTTTTTTACATGATTTGTCTCAATCAAGGAAATTGGTGGTGTATTTTAATGAAGACCAATCTTACATTTTCAAATTTTAATTGAGTTTTGTATTATCAATATCATCGCTTTCAATTATGTTAATCCATGACTTTATTGTGCATGATCTTCAATAAGCATCGTTAACGTTTTCACACGATTATAGTGTGTGACAATTAATTTTAGTGTTGAGCTCCAACAAAATTGCAACACAACGATTATTTTTGTTATAGCTAGGAGTGTGTGATAAACCCTCAAAAGTTGCCATCAATCGTAGGCCCGAAAATTCAAAATGGCTGCCAATAAGAATGCCAAAATATATATTTTATCCAAAACTTTATTTTAGCAAATATGTACGGTGGCCAATTTTGATTTGTGGGCATGTTGCCAAAACAATATTGATGGTGATCTATTATTAGGAATTATTAAAGACACTTATAAAAAACCTAATATTAAAACTATCATTAGAAAAATATTCTTCTGTTGCAATATTGTTGGAGTAAGGTCATAATTTCTCATAAAATGATTCCACTACTAGATCAAAACGTGTTGAAGCAATAAGTGATTGTATCAGTTGTTCTACTTTGTTGTTGTGCTACAGGCTCGTCAGGACTACAAGGCGTCGTACCTGGGCCACATGGCGTCACCCTCCAACACCGCTACCTTGGCCGCCTATCTCGACGCGCACAATAACTACGTCATAGCCAGTGTCAGTTGTTGTATATTGTTGTTGTGCTACAGGCTCGTCAGGACTACAAGGCGTCGTACCTTGGCCACATGGCATCACCCTCCAACACCGCTACCTTGGCCGCCTATCTCGACGCGCACAATAACTACGTCATAGCCAGTGTCAGTTGTTGTATATTGTTGTTGTGCTACAGGCTCGTCAGGACTACAAGGCGTCGTACCTGGGCCACATGGCGTCACCCTCCAACACCGCTACCTTGGCCGCCTATCTCGACGCGCACAATAACTACGTCACACAGCTTCACGCCACCAACGGCATGGTCGACACCTACAGCCAAGAGACGCTACCATTGCTGCTGCAGGTAGGGTAAATTTTGTTACTACGTCCATTGCTGAATAACAAATTTGTTGCTACTATATACTGTAAATTTGTATTCTGAATAAGAACAAACCAACCAAAAGATGTCAAAGAAACGAAGGGGTTCCCTTATTTCCCGAAACGTGTTGTGGTCAAAACACTAACCGTAAGAAAAATACTATAAACAAAAATTAGAATAAACCGGAATTCACTTTCCGGTTGTTTTGCCCTCCTCAATTTCTTCAGTCCCTTTAAACTTTTGTCAATTATTCCTGAGGTTTGAGATCTAACTACGTCTGCAACCTTTTTTGAGGTTACAGATTATTCCTTCAGAATACTTGGGCAAGCCAATACATCCAGAACAGAAGTGGTGGTTATTTGAGGTTTCTTTTGCCTCTTAATTCTTGCTTCTCTGTCAGAGCTCTCACTTGTTGTCGGATTAATGGAGTCAAATACATTGGTTTTTCTGCAAAATTGTGTGGTAGTCGGTTGATTTTTTTTAATTTTTATGGTATGGACCAAGAAATTTTGCCCTTTGTTAAAAAAACTGGATGATACTTTTTTCATATAAAACTTACTTACTCTAAAAAAAATATAATTTACATGTTTCAGTAAACAGTAATTAAGTTAAGTGTTTAAACAGTCATAAAAAAATTCTAACTGTAAATTAATACTGGACACAAATTTATATTTATAACAATTTACTTACAAACCTACTCATGTACTACCATTGACTATTCGATACTGAAGATTGTTTTGATAGTCAAAGGTACTACTCGTACAACAATGGTCAGATTCGTTTCTTTTCAAGCTTAATTAATAAATACTAGTGGTCGTCCTGTGGTCGAAACTCGACCAAAAATAATTAATGTACAGACTTCTCTATTTTCTCCCCACACTGTAAATAACACATGTGATTTGAATTTCTTCCATTTGTTTTGATTTTCTGTTTACATTTTGTTGTTATTTCGTCACCATCATGGCAACCCATATGCTCCATGTTAATTTTTTGAAGTTTTCAAATTAATCTTTTGTGCTTATTTGTTAGCCTATTTTAATTTTTAGAGGCATTCTGCACATCTACAGGAAAATATCTTTCCAACAGTATGCGTAGATTTTCTCTGCGATGCACACGACCTGAGAAAAAAGGTTTTAAAGAAACATGCTTGCCTATTAATATATAGATAGATAGATAATGACTGTTATTAAAGTAATACTTGGCTATTGGTTTACTGATACTGTACTACTGACTTACAATCGAGTTTAATGTAAGCCTTGTGTAGTTAATGAAGTATCACGCATAGTGGGAATGTTATGTGTAAGCAAGCATGTCTTATGGTTGGTAAACATGTACTTAATTAGAAACAAGCTACCTACTGCACCACATCACTGCGTCAAACTCTCCTATCCTGTAATATGGAGAAGTTACTTTACGCTACCTGTTTGTAAACAGATTTTATGCAACCAAACCTAGGTTTTTGATATTTATGTATAGATTTGACTTATCAGCTAAAATATTTACAGCCCTACAAAAAATTAATTTTTGTACTGCTTAAAATACTAATAACTGCAAAACGAGCTGGTAAAACACTCGAACTTTTACTTGATACTAAAATTATATTTAGTTTTGAGTATTTTATGAAATATCATAAAAGGATTGTTCTAACATTTAAACCTTAAACATTTTTAATGTAAGTGCAGCACCAAAAGTATTTCGTTGAAAGGTATATTTTAACACCGTCAACAATGTTTGGACGTAAAACTGCTCTTGGCATTTACAAAATAGTCTTTTGAACTCGAGTCAAGTTGGTTGTTTCGAATTCAAATGAAGCAGTTACCATCTAAAAGCGGTTCTGGAGGTAAAATTGAAACAACCCACTGATAAAATGTTATCTAAAGGAAGTCAATTTCCCAGATGTCAAGCCGGTCGCTCGCAGCTCTTTGTAGTTTAAACGTGGTATTCTTTGTCAACGTAAAAAACTGAATGAGTTTGAAAGTCGTGCTCGGGGTTACCCTTTGTCCTAATGACTAACCTCTTTACAACCGCAATATCAACATCAAATTTGAATAATGATGTTGCTTAAACCCTTTACACGCTAACGTCGCTCCTCAGGCACTATTAAGGCCCTTCCGTTCTTAAAAGACGTTTCCTTGCGACGTTGCTAATTTAGCCTCAAGATTTTTCAAAGAGGAACTAACTATTTTCGCTCCAAAATATTTTAACGTTGATTTTCGTAGGTTATTAGTGTATGACAAGTTTCACTTTAAAATTTCGTTCTTAACTACGTGTTTTAGCAAGACTTTGATTTGATTATAGTTTTAATCTTAAAATAGTTTAAAAGGATATTTGACCATTTTGATGTAAGTACTGTATGTTTATGATTTTGAATCTGTATTGTCATTGCTGTTAGCTTTGTTTCAATGTTGCAGGAGCTAGAAGAGGTGTACTCGGATCTGTGCACGACGCTATCCGACTCACTACAACAGGGAGCTGAAGTTATATCCAGCAGGGTATGACTTTATAACACTTTGTCCTTGCTATAGAACTAGCAATAATTTTGAAAATAATAATACTGAAAGTGTTTAGACAACTTTTTTATTAGGTTTCGTATGTCAAAGATGTCAAGTTAACTGATGTCTCCCTCATATGATTATTGACAAAGAATAAAATGGGCATAGTTTCTAATAAACATTTGTATTTATATCTAAGTAGTGTAGTGGACATTCAGGCAGTGCGAACATTCCACGGTCGATTTATTGCTAAGCATTTCCGTTTATAAACTAATTTATGATTAACATAAATTCGATATAAAGAACAAAATTGTGCACTTAGCAAATGTATGGCTAAGTATAAAATTTAAGTTTTTATATTTCAAAAAGAGACTTTAAGAAGTGAGCTTTATATCAAATTTTATAAAGTTCGTTTAGAAGGCCACCCAAACATTTCCTCTTGTAAAACTAAGTCTATATGAACTAGTCGGTCTAAACACTAAGCTTAGTCGGATGACTAAGCAATTTTCATGCCCTAATTAAAAGTAACACTGAATGTAAGGTGTTCGATTTAAGTAAGGTAAAGTAAAAACGAAGGAATCAGATGTTAAAAAATAGTTCGTTTTCAAAATCTATTACTTCAGTTTAAATAAAAAAAGAGAGTTCTCTAGGTTTTTGTTGATGTTAGATAAAAAATATGCTGTACTTAGTCATACGCTGTTCTTTTATATTTGTATGGTTAACAATTGGGGTATATATTCTACAATAAATCAGTAATTTACATCAGCACTCTATCGGTGGTTCAATTCAACTACGATCTTTTATATTCTAAACCTAACTACATCTTCAATATAAGTATGGAATGTTTATATTTAACAATCAAAAGTACTGTATTCTACTCATGGTTCTTTGTCCTGTAGGCGACGGAGCAGTCAAGACGCTACGAAGTTCTGTCCAATCAGTGCAGAGCAGTTTCCCCCACTACGGATCTAGCACATTTCGTGAGGTCCCTAGCTCCCCTACCTCCCCAGGCCCATCCCTCTCACCGTCTGAGAGTCTTCACTCCCCCTCAACCTCCCCAGCAAGACACTCAGGCCGACCCTTCGATGGCCGACGGACCACCAATCAATGTTAGTACTGTACCTCTATGTCATAAAATGGCTCTCTGATTGTTCTACATAGATTCATAATAGTTAGCTGGGTTATATATGATATTCTGCTCAATTATACAGTATCTAAGTGGCAGGAGGAAAAGAGGGATATGCAACGGCACTCAAGCTACATTTTAATCAGTTTCTGATATTATTGGAAGTCTGAAGAGGGTCTTATGCCAGACTTTAAGCAGATTTATTTCAAGAAAGTTATTTTTACCCTTGAATAAAAGGTATTTCTATAGCATAAAATATCTCTCCAACCTAGAAACAAACAACTTTTTTCAATAATCTGAATATCTTGAGCAAAAAACTTACGTCTTAACATACTTATTTCAAGCTCCCTACACCAGTCATATTTGTAGAGAGTGCGTTACGTACCTTAAAGGCCGAGATGAAACATGCGGATTATTTACTCTACATATAGGGTGTGAACTTGGCAAATTCTAAACAACCCATTTCAATAAATCTTTTCAATAGCTTGTGTTATTGGATATTCTAGGACCTAAACGCACCAGCGCCTCTGAAGAACGAGGTGGTGGTAGATAGGTTAGCCTCCATCCAGGTGAGGTCGAGGTACGAGGCTCTGAGAGTGGAGGCGGTGGAGCTGGAGACACAGATCAAGCAGCTGCAAGACGCCTTGGACACCATGGTCAGGATACAGCAGAGGTGAGGGTCTAATAGTAGATACAAAGGTCTGCTAGCATTGTCTTGATGATTCATAGCAGTACTAGTGTACCTGTTGCTCGAATTCGAGCAATTGCGAAGCATTACAGGCGACTCACGAAGATTATGGAAATACTCACGATCTACACAACAGTTAGATATAATCAAAATCTTTTATAAATATCTTATCTTTTCTCAAAAAGCTGATTTTTTAGTGTTTCTACAAATTTTTCCCTCTTATAGGTTGTGCATTAGGTTGTCTATAATAACAATTAAAAATGAAAAAAAAAACATTATTTCTTTTCTTCTACTTAGTTGTGTTCTATGACTTTTTATATGTTTCCATTGTTTGCAAATCGGTTATTTCAATGATTGCTCAAAGAAATGTAGCATATTGTTAATTCAGTTTTATTTTTAGCCTATATCAAATTGTCCAGGATTTCTCGTTTTTTTCCATTGTAATAATTTTACCAACCCAAGTTTCGTCTACAGATGCAATACGCCAAAGAATATCAAGAGTTACTGTGATATTAGGATTTTCCACTGATTTGGTAATAGAACATTATATTGCAAAACATGACACGATGCAGAAGAAAATCCAATTTAAAATCAGAAAACCCCATTGCAAATACTGTAGGCTACTTCATTTTGACAAATTCAATAAATCACAATTTAAATATTAACAGCTGTTTCATTAAAAAGTAGGGTAGAATTATGCATATGGTCGTAATGTAAACAAATCTGAAGAGGCAACTTTAAAGGCTTCTGGGGCAGAGCCCCATGGGAATTTACCTCGTTCCTCTTTTGATGGCTCATCTACAGACCAAGACCTTTCTTTAGAGACCCCTACCAAGTTTCTACGCCCAGCCGTTCTCTCAAATTAGCTGTGACAAAAACCCCATTTTCCTCCATAAGAATAACATGGGATGGGAATTTAAAGGCCTCTGGGGCAGAGCCCCAAGGGAATTCACCATGTTTCTCTTTTGATGGCTCATCTACAGACCAAGACCTTTCTTTAGACACCTCTACCGAGTTTCTACACCCAGCCGTTCTCTCAAAATAGCTATGACAAAGAAAAACAGTTTCAAATTAATAGATTATTGACTATGAAGAAGAATAGTGTATGTTACAGCCTAAGCTTTGGATTAACGATGTTCTATAGTTTAGCCATATTCATGATTGGGCATTAAACTAGTTTAGAGTGATATGAGTCTCTATAACTGTAAAGATAAGGTAGAGCCGCCGTGGGATCGCGTTATAGAGCACTCATTTATAATGTATCAGTTTCATGATTGTATTGTGGCCTACCAGTCTGCCCCTTGCTTTTCTTACGTTCTCCGCACAGGCCTAAGGGCCATGTGGACGGCAAATTCAAGATAAATAGAGGCCTCCAACAATAAGGAGCTCGAAAAAGTTGAACTTTATAAGGTAGATTTTTTTGAAATACGTAACATAATAACCGAAACTATAATATTACATCGTAACACTGTAATATTAATATTAGTGTTAATTATTTTCGTTTAAAACTTCAATGTCGGACAATGCATATTGTGTACGAGTATATCCTATATATAAATAGGTTAACATGTTTCTTGTAAACCCCCTTTTTCAGCTCATTTGCATCGCTGGCAAAATCTACGCATGCTGTTAAAAAGATATTTCCCTGTATATGTGCAGAATGCCTTAATAAATTAAAATAGACTCAAAAAATAAGGACAAAAAATGATTTTTAAATTTTTAAAAATTAATATAGGCCGTATGGGTTGCTATGCCGGTACCGAAATGACAACGAAATATAAACAGAAAATCAAAACAAATAGAACAAATTCCAAACACACGTTTTATTTACAGCTTGGGGTGAAAATAGAGAAGCCTGTAAATTACATGTTTGGTAGAGTTTTCGACCACTGGACAACCTCTAGTATTTTATAAAAAGGCAAAATTTAACATACCAACAATAACCCTCTTACATATTAGGGGTTCTTCTTGTGGGTTACACTCACAAGAGTACATTGTAGCAGACAGCTTATCTCTGTAATACACACTTCTCATCCTCAGGGTTTAAGTGATGCGAAGTACAAGTAAACATCAATTAATTGAGCTCTGTTCCTTTGAGGCTCCGCGTTTGCTTCTCCATTTAACATCCACTCATTAACGATATATTTTACCATTTTGTAAGTGCTTCAAATGGAATCAATAGTACAAAAAACGGTTCCGTCACCTTTTGTTTGTGTGGGGCGATCATTATAGTTGTGATTTGATAATACGTGCATTTTGTACAAATAAACCTAATTACCTCTCAAAGTAAAATTTGTTCTTATTTATCGGATGATTATTGTTCTTAATAATTTTCTTTTACTGTTAGACCAAGTCAAAGTTTTCTTGTGCTATTATTTAAGAGGATGTTAAACTAACTCAGTGTAATTTGTAATATTTTAGCCAGTGTTTCTGAAGTAAATGGAGAAATTAAGTCTTTCAGTTACTAATAAATTAATATAAAATGTTACCAATACCCATTATTCATTTTAAACTGTCACGATCTTTTTACGAATCCACAACAAAATTACTATGGGAATCCTATATAGGCAGTGAAATTTTATATGAGAATACTAACTATGGGAAAGCGGTCTAAACACCAAAATATTCCTAAATGTGTCAGGGGTCAATCCTTACATTGTCAAACTGAAGTCTATACCTTTAGTAACAAAAAAATAATAATAATAGTAATAACAAACTAAATATAGAGAAACTGAACACAGAGAATAATGATCCTTTTTCTTTGGTTCAGCTAGTCTTAAATGTTTACAGGCAGCCATATATTAATAACAATAGATAAGTACACAATTACAGCCAAAATGATTTACATTACATTACAATATACTCTTATATTACATACTCTAATACTATACTACTATACTACTCTTATACTATACTACTTATACTCTAATACTCTTACATTACAAAAGAACCCCCACCCCCACAGATTGTAGTTAAAAAGAAGCAAAAAATCCTGAAATAAAACAATGATCTCGCTGAGCGACAATTTGATGCAGTCATGTAATTGTCCGTTCTTGTCGTACAATCAATATTGTACTAATTATCAACTCTCAAATAACATAGTTAGTATGTGACGCAGGAGTTTGGAGTCTCAGCTGTACAACAAGGTGAACGAGCTACAAGAAGACATCAGCATAAAGAGGTTCGACCTGCGGACAGCACAGATACACCTCGCGGCAGTCAGAGCACAGGTAAAGTTAACTATTAATATACTAGAGAAAATAACTTATTAATAAAAATAAATACGTCTGCCATAAAAAAATAAAGTTACCAATGACACTAAAGAAAATGTACACTTAAAATATTGAATGATCATAACAGCTATAAGACTGATTAATTGTGATGTTTGCCATGTAAATGATTTCTCATAAATGATTTCTCATTATAGTCAATGGACCTCTTAATGTTTCATGGATAATAATTTTCTAAAAGGATCTGTCCAAATAATATTGTTTCTAAAAGTTCACAAAAAATTTTGATAATGTTCCTCTGAAACCAATAAACAATCCAATCACCTCAATTTTCGACATTTTTGAAATTTTCCTTGAAACATTCAAAGGTAGATTCATATTTTTTTTTCTTTTCCTCATTCACTTCATTAGGTTGATTTAGGTTTGTTTCAAATCGAATTGCTGGATCGAGATTTATGCCTTTGTTTGTTTCTCTTTCGATCAATAAAATACCTACTCTTCTGGTGCTTCCGTTAGAAGAAAGACAGTGTACTTCTTCTAGCACTTCCCATGTATTATACCTTTTTCGGAAGGCATTTGCTATGATACTTCTTATTTTGTGATGCCTTGTGTTTCTTAGAAGTTAACCAAACGGACAGAAGCCAATGGCATGTGCTTCTATTATATTTTATTACAATTCTCCTCAAGTGTACCCAATGTGTGTAGATTAAGATATTTCAATAGGGTAAGTGTTTAAATAATCATCTGATAAACAGATCACCGTTCATGTAAACCGATTGTTATAAACTACAAATTTTTACAGTTTACCAATAAGGTATAATTTTCCAACCTTTTTCAATGTTATTTTTATCTGTATATGAAATGTTTGGTAACAAGTAAAAAATAATTGAGGTAAAATTTGGAGTTAAAGTTGCCAACAATAAATTAAATACATTTTTCAGTACGGTATGCATTATGTAGAATTTTTGGCGGAGTATTTCATGTGCATGCTGCCTCTTGAAAAATACAAAAATTCATGAAATACTATAAAAAGGAACGAGCCACAATTATATTTTAACCCCTTGTACAGCTAGGAGTATGCAAAAGCGTGTTTACTTCCAAAATAAAAAAAAATACGAGACATTTTTTATGCATTCAATGAATTGATCAATTGAATGTACGTTTACAGAATTAAAATACATATTACATAAAAAATACATAAAAATAGTTATTTCAAAAGTGCTATTTCAATTCATTTTAGATATTATTCATGAATTCAGAAAGTTATTAATCTTAATATACCTAAATATTTTTTTCATCTTAATATTTAAAGTAGGTGTTAAACTAATTAATTTTCTATCCGTCTTATCAATTTCCGTCGCGAATTTCAGCATCCTAATATTGAAATAATATTCATAATGACGCCCTAAAATATTTAAAAAATGCAGCAATCGGTCTGAGATAAAAAAAAAGCTAATCCACCGGTTACCCACTCATTTCATATTTACAACAATTCCCCGTTGCATCTCAACATGAACGATAATGCAGTGTAGCTGCAGTTACGACACCCCTGTTCTGACCTACATTTGGTGCGCGAATTAATGATTGACAGCAAGGGAACTCCCTAACTCATCATGGGGAAAATCTGATCCATCTCAACTTAGGTGGTAGCTAGCAATTTACAGGGTGTTTTCAAATGAAATTGGAATAGTTTGCCCCATTTATGGTATTTTTAATGTGTAATAGAATTTCAAACCCACTATGAGCCGCACCACCCCGCGCAGGCGCTCCTTCGGTCGCCCGGGCAGTCGATACGTCGTTACCATGCACTCAACATATCGTTCCAGACTTTAATTTTTAATGTAGCCGATTTAGATTGGAGTAGACCTTGGTAGTAGAGCGGGTGCCTTTTTTCGTCGGTAGCGGATCGAATTCCGTTTCCCAAACGGATATTTAACAAAATTCGTATTTTCGTGATATAAAAGTTTAAGAGATTTGATTATTTTACGGTTTAAGTGTTATCGGTTAGTGATTTTAAGGCTGTGAATTTGTGAATTTCGTAATGGGTTGGTTACAGATCCGTTTACACTTGGTAAGTGAGATTTCAACCGATAATTTATTACTTAACCATAATTAGTTAAACGTCCTTAAAAAGCATATTTCTAAATTAATTTAATAGTCACGCTTACCACAAGATATCTTATCGCCCTAACCTTACATCATATTGAATAATAAAACTAAAACTTTACAAAAATAACTACTGTAACAATCAGTTTTAATTTTCAAGATCAACAAGTTGGAAGAATCATTTTAGACTCTTAACACGTTCATGTCAATTAACCCAACCACAATCAGTTGTTAACTTCAGTATGTGTGGCATATTTGCCAAGACCGTGCTATATACAATAGGACGGTTGTCAATAACATGGCACATGACAACCTAGCTATGTCTAGTGAGGAAGGAAGAGTCTATTTGAAAGTTACGGCAAGATGGCGACGTTAGTGCCTGGAAGGTCGTGGCAGTCACGTGGTCAACATGTCACGCTTATCATCAGTTTGCGTGATGTCTGACAGTATCCATCCTGATAGCGTGTTATTATATCCAGTGTTGCCAAACTGAACCAACAGAATTATCGAAGTAGTTCTTTATATCGTGTTTCAATTGTGAAAGTACGGAATATCTTATTTAAATAATTGTTCATATAATGTGATATCAATATAATTTTTTTTTACTTTAGGGGTTTATTTTGGGGTTTATATAATTTTTCATCGAATTGTCCTTCTTAACAATTCAGCTACTTTTTACTTGGATTTTAAGATGTATACGGTAAATATCAAAGGCGTATTATGGATAAAATCAGAAGTCATTGCAGTGGAAATGTAAATTTAATCTTATCAACTCCCTCGTTGAAAAAGGTTCCCAAATAAATTAATGATTGTAATATCACTTATCGCGTCACTGAATAAAGTTGGCTTTACTGCATAAAACCGGATTATTGGTGTAACTAGTTTGTTAACTGATAAATTTTATCTTCAAGTAGCTATTACATACATAACCTATTTTGTCAGATAAAAAGCTTGTAATAGGTAGCTAAATTTTTCGAAACTATTGAGTTCCATCCCTAAAATTGGGAATTTTACAGCCATCCATTCATAGGGGTATTCAACCTTAGAGAAATTTCTAAGTTAGCGTAAAATCCGATACTGTGCACTAAAATAATTTTCTCAATTCATTAAGTAGTTTTAGCCCACAGGTCACACGCCTTACACGATCTTAAAAGGTAAAAAATAGAGTAAAAAATAGTCATAGCCCTTATAAATACCAACATACCCTGCGATAATTTGTAGCACTATAACATCTTTGATATAAGGGAACTTATTGTTTAATTGTGGTTTTACAAAATTACTTAAATAAGAGAAAACCACGACAATTAAGTTAAACTTGACCATTTAAACTATTAAACATCAACAATGCATATACAAAAATTAACCAAATTGAACAGTTTTAACAGAAATAATTATTTTGTTTAGTTAAAATCTATTTTGTTGTGCTTGCGCAAACTTTTAAAACATGCTATATTAAGTGCATTTAAACTTATAAAAACTTATTTGCCAGAAATGGAGTTTAAAAATGATACATTGCCCAGTGTTTGGAGCCAAAACCTAATCTGATATACTTAATAAGTAACCCAAACCATACAAGGTAATTTGGAATAGACTTGATGAACGCCTGAACAGAACAGATAGACAATCTTGATGCTGCATCAGTTTTGCAGCCAACATACTGAAGGAGGCCTTTATTGTTATTATTTTCGCTTCCTTTTATTGGCAATACTGCTACCATTGAGTATAAACTTAATTATACTTGTATGCTCAATGCTATTACACTTCACAACATCAATTATTAACGTTTTGTTCCATATGAAAGTGTAATGTTAAATATGACATTACACATTTATATGAAAAAAAAACGTTAAATGATTAAATAATATTAAATAATTTACGTTAACATTGATTAAATAAGTACGATGAATACATCATACTTATTTTAGTATGTATCCATTAATATTATCATACTATTGTTGCAATAAACCTTAATACCTTTCTAGCTGTAGTTATATAATGAATCTTATACCACAAGCTGTAAAAATATGTCCGTTTAATTACATACTTTTGCTATTTTTTTATTTATGCGTAGTTTATTAACCCCTTTGATTTTCAGTACGGTATCAGCTTTTGTTATATGTCATTAATTTCAATTTCAATTTTTTCAGATATCAAACCCTAAGGCTTATCTCTATTAAACTTGTTATCTCTATTATTCTTGTGTTAAAATACTTTCCAAACAATTTTCAGCAGTATACAAATAATGTATAAAATTGTAAACAATATTTTTGTAAATGTATAAATAAAGTCCAATAATCAATAAACGCTGTTATTACTTACAATTTTTCTAAGAAAAGTAAATCCATTGCCTGTTTTAGATTTACTAAAATAACAGTTGTTTTGTTCTTTCCAGAAAGAACTGTTTGCGTCCAAACTCGACTCGGCGGAAGGCGCGAGTGGTAGGGACCGGAAAATGTCTTCGTCCTCGACCGGAAGTATGAAGTCGAAATGGTTGAAAGCTTTTAAAAGCTTAAAAACCACGAGTGGTCCGTCCAATGGAACCTCGCCTAAGGAGGGAGAAAAGTAAGTAGAGTAATTATACTTAACTTTAGTTTTACTTTAGGTGTATTAAGCTTTAGTCGTTTCCAAATTCGTAGCCAATGGCTGTTTATAATGCTGCTATTTTATAATTGCAATATTTATATGCATATTTTACTATTAAACTCATTTGCAACTCAATTTCAGCTTTCTAGTATAAAATAGAATATTGAAAGTACATTGTAAAAATGTAAATATCTGTATAATTATGTAAAATGTGTTTCTTTTCAAACATTATTTTTATTGGGGAATTTTCCAATTTAGGGACTTAATTTTGTTGAACAGTTTTTTACAATTTTTTTTTGCAAAAGGAAAGCCTTAGACACCATTGCATGAAATAAACAATTTGTTACAATTACTGAAGAAAAGTTGGTTTTTCTTACGTAGACTTACAAAAAGATTTTGTAACCGAAAAAACATTATTAAACCCATTAAATTTATTTATCAGATTTATAATAAATAATTGTTTGCATCAGCTAAAAATTACGCAGTAACATTTAGGGAAAATAGTTTGATTTATTAACGGTATTAACATTGTATTTTAAAATAAACGATTGTAAAATCGAGGTTGATATTTTTCCCAATTAAACATACTTTCTAGAAAAATCAGTCGTCGCTATATATATATTTTTAATATGTCAGAACATTGATAATAATTGTATACACATAACATATTTGCTTGGTAAATCTAAGATAATTCATTATCTTAATACATGATGTATGCATCATATGTACTAATACTGATTATTTATCAAATAATCCTTCAAATGAAAACTGTCCATTTTAATGTTAACTGGTAAACATATTTAATTACAAAACTATAATTATAATGTCTTGAGTTTCAAAAATATTGATTTCAGAAAATGTACATGTGTTTTCGGAAATATCTAAAGTTAAATTTTTTTCTGAGTAAAAATAAACGTAACGATTCATTAAATAATAGCTATCATAATTGTAGGATTTAACTGTATTTGTTAATCAATTGTTTTCATAATTTTATATTCATCTAACAGAAACTAGTATTATTTGTGTTTTACTGTGATATTTTTTAAATTTTTAAAGCCAATTACAGGAAAAATAACGTAAATAACGCGTTTTAAATTTAAAATATATTTTCTTCTTTTTTGCTCAATTCTCGTATATTCCAAACAGTACGTTGTATTATAAGGTAGAAAACTATGTAGGTGACCAATATATTTATTTTTTATTCTTTTATTATTACTAAATATTTATTTGAGGTTAATGTATTAATAGGTTATAAAGCACTTAAATAGCATATTTTAAATATTTATCCTCACTGTTCATTTAAAATTTCAACATTATGTTCAACAGAAATATAGGCAACATTTTTTTTAGGCCATGGAGATTTGCTGATATTCCTGTAAAAAGATCAATATGGTAAAAACTGACGAATTTTGTTTAGACACTAGCAATGTAAACCATTTTATAAAGTAGGGGGTTACGTTTAACACACTGGGGAGTGTTATCTAGTTAGTTGATTACACAATGTTTATTTTTTAAATAGTGAATATTCTGGGAGTCTTAAAACTGGATTTCACATGTAGTGCATTGCTAGAGGAATGAATAATAAACCAATGGATTGCTTTAGAGTACAATTAGTTAGGCCTGGATGTCAAGCTATGTAGCTAAGCTTTCAGGCGTTTGTACTTTCAGTGGCGTAACACTGAAAACACACAATTTTCAAATCCAAGTTGGAAATCGGCAGCCATTAAGCTTGTATACACTCTTCTTAAGATTTTTTGTAGAATAAAATTAGTTTTGATACAAATAAGTGTTTCCTAGGGACCCCAAACTATAGTAGATCTTGTGATTTAGATTGTATAAGGGGGTCTCAAAACCTTTTAATATTGATTTTCTTCTTGTGATTCATCTTTGAACCAAACGAAAAAAGGCTGGATCCGATTTTACTGTGGTTTTGTTACGCCATTGAGTACAAAAATAAGTTAATTATGCACCAATATTTTGCACATAGTCTCTACTTACAACTTTTGAAATTGGGATTGGTAAAAACGCCACTTGAAAATCTATTGCTGAACTATCAAAAAATAACGTAAAAATGTCTTATCCTTTTACATAGTTTGTTTGTACCGTGTGAGTAAGTTATAATAATTGGGCAAAATCAATTAATTAAAACAACTAGTTACATACATTACATTTCTGAAAATGATTTAATTGCTATTTATAATGTTAATTCAAAATCTATAAAAACATTCCATTAATTTTTAATTTACAAGATTACTCTTGAAATTTATATTTTAAATTATAAATGATAATTAACACTCCCATTCTCCACCTAGGAGATGACAGAAAAAGACTCCTTTCAAGCCATTAAATTACGATCTAGATGTATTTTTTTATCATTTTTATCTGATCACAAGCGCTTTGTGTTCATATTTTAATATTTTCATGGAAAATATGTATCATCGTTTACTTTTTTATTTAAAAGCAGCATAACCTTTTACTCACATATTTAAAAATGTTAATGCATTTGCCTTTCGACTTAATGTGTAGTTATTTTTTACGTAGTTAGTTTTTTTCTTGATGTTTACTAATCAGTGTTTTTCTCTCTTTCCTCTTATCTTTCTCCTTTCTCTCCATTGTCGTTTTTGTTTTAATTTTTTGTTTTTCCACCACCCTCGTCCATTCCACTGAGCAACTCTTTCACCCCTTTACCTAAATCCTTTTATATTTTCTCTCTCAAACGCTTCGACTCTGCGATTCCATAACAGAAAGAACCAAATGTACCACGCGGTTTCCACCATCATTGCGATGAGGTAAATATCCGATTGTTGTACTTGAGTCAGGTTTTGCTGGTTACTTGCTGCACCCGCTTCTTAAGGGTTTTGCAGTCTGTGTGGTGATGTTTAGTACGGTTTTGTCAACGCTATGTATATACTTCTTGCTTACATGTATTTAACAGTTGTCTATTTTGTGGCTTATCGTTGATCACATGTATCATATTATTTTAATATGCTTTGCTTTTATTTAACTTAATGTATTTTTATTTGTTAATTTTATCTATACCATTCCATCTTAAATTTACAAGGTCCTATTCTAACACTTTTCTATAAGAAATCCTAATACATTTTGAAAATGGTTTTAATTAATAGGAAACATGATATTTTTAACATTGAATGTAACATTACAGGAAACATTTTTAATTATTAAAATTTGATTTTATGTTTCTACAGTATTTGATCAGCAACAACTGGTTATTAATTTTACAACGTAAATTATCGTTTCCGGAGTATAATTGTTATAATCTCATGTGATAGTTACATTTCTAAACGATATTCTTGCACCCCTGATGTTTTTCTCACTTATTTCCTAAACACAGTAATCACATTGAACAGTTCACAGTTTTGTTTTTTATCACGTTTCTTCACCACACTACAACATAAGTATAGTCAGTTTGTATTACTTCAACTATCTTCTCCACTGTGCTATGCCCATGATCCAGTGATGGGACTATCTGGACCAGGTATTGTCGTTAGCTTGTAAATAAACTGTATTTTTTTTAATTTTTAGTCTCTATAAGGGCTAGTTTTATCAAGGAAGTATTACTACAGTGTAATAAATAGTTTGTGTAGCTTATGTTACTTTCATGTAGTTTTGTCTTTATATAGGATGTAGCTAACTAAAGAAAACAATATTTTTCCTACAGTTACCTAACAATGTACATGTTCTCTCACTGATTTGAGAAAGCAAAGTGGCCAATTTGCTCATCAGTGAGACAATGTTAACATTGTCTCACTCTAATTACTTTGTCTCACTCCAGATTTGCAACGTGAAGGCACGAAATAGTGAGCGCGTAACATGCAGACAAGGTCGTATGCGCGCAAAATACGTAGGCAGCACTGGCTGTAAATCAGCTGGTCACCTGTTGTACTGTTGTTGATCGTGTTGATCATTAAATTCATATTAAAAGTTCACTTCTGTGTAAAAATATGTCACGTTTCTTTACTAATTTATTTGTTTTATTGTAACTGTAGGAAAAATATAATGTGCAACTCGAGCGCAAAGTGCAGTCGTTGCCTCACTCGAGGAACCATTCCTCACTCGCCTATGTCTCGTGAGTAAGGATTTCTCTCGAGTGAGTCAATTGCTCACTTTGCTCACTAGTTGCACAAATAACTATAGTAAACGTTTAAGCAGCGTGAAGCATAAAGTCATATTTACAAAAATTAAATTTAATGTTAGAAATTTGTTAAATTCCAACAAGAAATGAAAAATGTTTATTTTAAAGTAAAAAATATACGTTAGAAAATAAAGATTTACTTTAATGTAAATTATAATATCATTAGTAGTGTTAGTGACATTAATTTCCTAACAATGCTAAAGTCAAACTTAGAGTATTTTTATCCTAATTAGTTTGATCATACAATGAGTTAACATGCTGACTCAACCCGTATTACATTAAAAGAAAAGATAATAAAACAAAAGTTGATTATTTGTTGGTAATTGTGTTATTTCTAAACAGGAAAAACGGAAGAGATAGTGGACTAAACCTAGGATTAGAGTCTGCAGCACACCAGTTCCAGGAGTACACTTACAAGAAAATAACCCCTTGTGACGTGTGCTCTCAAGTTTTAAGAGGTATTGTACCACAAAATCCTTCAATCGAGATATGCAGTTTAGGTTGAAAGAATAGAAGTTAAATTAGTTGTTTATTTTGACATAAGAAGTGGAATGACGGCATGAACGTTTTATCTTATGTCGTTTATAGAAAAATATCAATGGTAAGGTAACCTGTTACACGGTATTTGATAACATATAATTTCATTGTCACCATATTCTTTGCGTTGTTTGGTAAATATATGAATATATCTCTTAATTGACCTGAACAAGTAATGTAATGCATTGTGAAGAAATCTACGCCAACATTCAAAATACAAGTACATTTACAAACAATTAACTGTCAATAAAACCTGCAAAGTTAAAGTTATTATTTGTAAATCATCGATTTTAAGAAATGTAAAGAAAAGTATGAGCTAACACCTTCAATCTTGTATTTATAGACAATGTCCTAAGCCACGCCTAATGCCATTAGACCTACTAGCATAATGTTGCAACACACATTATGTCTATTATACGTCTTACCCGTGGTGAATTATGCTCAGTTTAATGCAAGTGCAGTTTATGCTTCAGTACGTTGCTCATTATGGTCAATATATCGACATTAACGTGTTAAAGGGCTACGTTTTGAGCATTGCCTATTGTTAATGAGTACATGGATGTACAGGACACACAAGACAAGGCTTGAAGTGTAGAGTGTGCAAACTGAATGTTCATCTAGACTGTCAGGAAAAGGTTGGGCGTTGTCAAGCCAAATCCAGGCTGTTACGACGGCAGAAGTCCACATCAGAGATTGAAACCAGAGTCACACCTGCGCAGGAGGAAGAAGGTAGGTCTTACATAACCGATAGCACATCTAACATGATCGTATAAGTAGTCCATGAACAAGTTCCAGGATCTAATAGTGCAGACGTAGGAAAATATTCATAAAAGTCATGATAAAGTAGGGACTCTTTCATTCCATTTTTCATTAATCGATTATACCCGTTCATCATCTATTCTAACAAGTATTTATTCAATTGAAGTTTATATACAACGTCAGTGATATATTGAACATTTGATTGACTTCTTCAATTAAACTACTACAGTTAAACCTCTGGTAGGCCTCCACGGTCAAAGTATCCAAATCTTGACCTGAGGAGGACGACATTGTTTTTGAACTGGCTACAATACTGGCGTAACTTTCCAAAAATTTAGATGCGTTGCAGGAATTCATCATCAGGACAAGCTCCAATTCAACCAAATTATTGAAAATTCCACTTACCTAAAACTGTAGCTTTCTCTGAAAATGGGTTGCTTCATCGCATACAAAACGTTGTCCAGTATTTTAACCAGTTCAAAAACACGGTCATACATTTAAGATAAAGATTCGACAGGCTTAGCCTACTCAAACTGTTACATTTTAGAAGTGTAATCTGTATACGTTATTTTAAGATTACTACCAAACATACATTATTTAGCTGTATTTAATCAAACTCAAGTTTTTTCTTCAGGTGACAAATGTTTACATTAATTTCATTATGATTACAAACCTATTAGTTTATCGGACTCTAAGCCCACCGACTCCTGATGAGTCTGTATGTTGCCAGCTGTTACGCTGGTGGCCAATAGACCAGGAAGGTCCTCGGTCAGTCCAGCGGGGGTAACCCAGGGGGGCTCCCCCTCCACTCGTAGCGTCACGTGGAAAAACCCCCCTTCCAGGAGTTTAGGTACCACAAACAAAAACTTGGCTAATCGCTTCTGTACTCGTCCAAGCTAGAATGTTAGTCGGCCAATGTGTGTCTTACATGTGGATAGAAGAAGCCAACTGATTGGTTATCACTATTCTCCGAACTGTGTAGTACGATGCTCATTATTCTCGTTAAACGTCATTTAGTTTGGTTGTTCATGGTTTAATTGTGGCCAATTTCAAGCTTTTATGCAGTGGTAATGTTTTTTTTTATGAAAATGATATCGATTAAAACTAACTATTAATGTATCTAGGATAGGTTAAATAAAAAGGATAAACAAATATTAGTCTTGAATCTTTTTTTAGATAGGTGTTTACGCACTGAATCTAACCATACGGATTTGTTATTGTAATTAAAGAAACCCTAAAAATTGGAACTTACAGATTTAAGTAGATTAAAAGTAGTGTTTTCCCGAAATACAGAAGGGCTAAAAATCACACGTTACCAAAGAACATTACTACTTTTGCATTTAAGTAGAAGGGAACAGAGGTAGACAATTTTCACCTACATGAAAATGTTGAAACGTTAAAAAAACTCTCATTCCACTTAAACTCATGAATTGTGAAAATCAATCAGATAACCAGCCAAGCGTTTCTAGATCGCAGCGAATTATGTAGTAAAGCATAACCCGTAACACAACAGAGTTGCACGATACAAGACAAGAGTGCATCCGACGCTTCTTAACACTACGCTTCCCTTACATGGTTCCTGAGCTCTTAGCATGCAAACAAGCTACAAACAATCCAACTAATACTTAGTTGATTACATGGGGGTTGAATAAATACAATATACAAAGCTAAGAGTATGTTAGTAACTAAAACTTGTAACAGTTCAATGATTGTTATAGTCACTAGAATCAGTATAAGAAAGTAACAGGAGATGGAACTGCAAACATTAATCTGCAACTCTCAGAGAAACTGTGAGCTAAAATAACATGTTTGTGTTTATAGTCAAACATGCTAGATTCCTTGATATTCCATCAAAATCCCTATCTGTCGATAAAAAAAGTTTCTGAGATCTTTTAGTTTAACTCATAATAGTAATAGTGTTCATTATGATGTATTTAAAGTTCAGTCTTAAGTAGTTTCTCATAATATAATTCATAAGGTAGATAGAAAATATAATCAAATCCATTGGCAAAAGAATTGTAAAAGCGACAACAAAAAATAAGTTTATAGATGTTGAAGCTATGTAGTCGTTTACATGATGACATGGCTACACACTCACAACTCACACAAATTGTGTCAACCACGGGGTAAAATACCTGACCTAGGTCTTTAAATGTATAAGTCTTCATATGAACAAAACCAGTTTGTTTGCTATGGTAGAAAATTATCTACCATAGTAAACAAACTGTTTTTGTTGTTTAAAATTAACACACTATTAGAGAAATTAACACACTATTAGAGAATTTATCCAATACACCCAGCTCAGCAGAAAATAATTTACACAGATGGATTAATCAAAGCTGTAAGGGTTGATATGTTCGAACATACAGATAAAGTAATGGAAAATATTTCTTTATAAAACCCCTCAATCGTAAATTATAGAAAAAAGGTAGCAAGAAATGTAAAGTATAGAATTTTAGTATGATACCTAACAATATTTTTTGATTATTCAAGAAATAAAAAAACAGATCTTTGCAAACTGTGTCAAGCACAATAATATTTTCTGGCACGAGTATTCTTAAAGAGGCAAAACTGTAAAAAAAGAGTTTAAACATACAAAATTAAAGGATAATGCACCAAAGAATTGTAAGTTATAAGGATCATTATATAATACAACTTGAAAAAAAAAGAAACTCAACTTGTAAGGTTTGCTGTTTCTATTGCCATCATAAATGTTGATACCTATGATACCTCAATAAATCTTCTTAACATGTCTAATAAAATAGAATTGAATTGGTAACTCGTATGTGACAGCCTGGCAAACTTATACAATGTTCATGTTATTTTCATGCAATACTTATTAATAAGCTACACAATATACCGGGTGTTTCAAAATGACTCACCCGGTTTTAACGCTTTATAACTTTTATACTATTAAACTTACCGCTATAAAATACACATCAAACGAAAAAGCAACTCAAAGGCCTCTCGCCCACTATACGATTTCGGTCGTACGACACTGTGTCGTACGATATTCTTATTGTATGTGTGGTCCTCGCCCACTTTACGACACTTTGTCGGATAAATGGCCAGTTGCTTGGTAGCCCTGGAAGAGTGAGGTGTGGGTGTGTTGCGCAATATCTTAAAACGGTGGTTTTGTATCAAATAGTAAAACAATGATTCCGTTACGTGTTGTTGCAATGTGGCTTCTGTGGCGTAGATTAAGCGATAGTGGCCAATGTAGGCCTACAGCATTAAAGAAAGATTTATTTTTATGTGCAAATTATTTTTTAAAGTTAATGTATTTAAAGAAATTTTCAAATTATATTAGTCCATGCATTTTACAAGTTTTTAAATTTACCATAACTATCATAGGGTTATGGGATAGTCTGGTAAAAAGTATGTATGTTAAAACTTTTTGGATTAGTTTTTAAATATTAATGATTTAATTTTATCAATATAATCTACAAAAAATTATATTTATAGGTTTTAGTGAAACTTTTTTACACAATATAATTAATAATTGAGATTATACAATAATAAATAATAGCCAAACTCGCATTTTTTTCAATTTTTATTTTGGTATATTTACTCATAAGTGATGCAGTATTTAAACATAATAAAAAGAAAAATATGAACAAATTGTAAAAAATAAATAGGAAGATCAAAATTACGCAAAATAGTGGTTGAAAAATAAAACCAAGTGATAATTTTAATATAAAAATTAAACTAATTAAAAATCTAAAAAAATTCAGTTTTAAACTTATTTAGTTTGATTATTATAATTATTTTTAATTTAAATATTTATCAAACATTATAATAAAAAAGTATGAATGAATAGTAAAAAATATTTATTCACGATAAGAAATACGCAAAGTGATATAACAACTATAATAATGACTAAGTATGAGTTAATTGCAAAAATTATATATAAGACTACTGGGGAGAACGCACGACATACGATAAAAATCGTATAGTGGGCGGGCGCCCATTTGATTGTGTACGCCACTGCGAGTAAAACAGTCGTACGACAGTCGTGGATCACAGTGGCAGTGGACGACTGCTTCACGACAGTTTGTCGTAGTCGTGAGATTATCGTACAGTGGGCGAGCTCTCATAAGATCCAATGGTTCACTGTGGAAATGTTGTCGTTCCGACACAGTGTCGTACGACCGAAATCGTATAGTGGGCGAGGACTTTAAAAAGAGTTTATGCCTACCAAAGACACATTATTTAATAAAATCGATCCAGCAGAACTGTAGATTTAATTGTACAAAGTTAAAAAGTAATCTCCAACTTTTTTTAACACTAGAAATTTGGAGGTTACTTGACGTTTTTGCAAATAACTTTTAAATGGTGAGGAAATCGACCAAAGTGGAAGGTAATATTCCGAAAGAGAAAAAAATTTCCTACTATCTACAATTATGCATTTCTTTAAAATACTTAATTTGCCTTAAAATAAAAAAGTGTGAAATTTAATGTTTGCTATGTCTATTGTCTACATTGAAGACAGGGATTTTCAATTTTTTTCATTCTTAAGCAATTTTTGGTACCTTTCTTGAGTATTTTCAAAAAATGCATAATAGTACATTGTAGGAAATTTTATTCCCTTTCGGAATATTACCTTCCACTTTGGTCGATTTCCTCACCATTTAAAAGTTATTTGCAAAATGTCAAGTAACCTCCAAATTTCTAGTGTTAAAAAAAGTTGGAGATTACTTTTTAACTTTGTACAATTAAATCTACAGTTCTGCTGGATCAATTTTATTAAATAATGTGTCTTCGGTAGGCATAAACTCTTTGAGTTGCTTTTTCGTTTGATGCGTATTTTATAGCGGTAAGTTTAATAGTATAAAAGTTATAAAGCGTTGAAACCGGGTGAGTCATTTTGAAACACCCCGTATACCTACGTAATTAAATTAAAATATAATGGGTTTAGCACAAATTTTTTTATTAACCTAGTGGCAGAACTGTTGGTAGAAGAGAATGGAAAGTGGCAGTTGTTTGTAGGTATCAGGTTGTAATTAATCTGTTGTTCAATAGCCATGTTAATGTAAATACCTAAGGAGTACTCCTTATGCGATTAAATGTATTTTCCAATTTATTATTCAATCATAGTTGTATAACTGATAGCCATCCGCGAACATGAATCTTGAACGAAATGAAAAGTGCAATACAATAATCGAAGAGTGGTAAAAAATACACTTTATAAATAAAAACTCCTCACAAGTCAATTGCATATTGGAATAACGGATGAATTTATGAATACAAAAACCTCCCGTTGCTATCTAAAAACCACGGTCACTTGCCCTTCTTTTCAACCAACACTACAGCCATATCTCGAATTAAAAACAATTTCTTATTCATGCTACTTGTGAGCAAAGTGGCACTAAACGAGAAAAAATTACAAACGAAGCTTGACAATTTGCACATGGATACGACATTCAATTCTACAGTTATACTTAAAAGGCAATTTAGTAGAACGATGATTCCATATAATGTATTCAACAAATAGTCGAAAACAGAATGATCCCAAACCCATAATTTGTTGAATAAACATTTTTGTTAGGATTAATATGTTAAACATAAAGATGATTTACTTTAGATTATTAATACTGTAAAGTAAAATAAACTTGGGAAATATTGTTTTTTTCAGTTTCAATTCAGAGTGAGCAAAGTAGAGAGCCAGCAGTGGGAAAAGTAGTAGAAAAGTACGATGTTGAAAAATTAGCTGTTTTTCATTTTAATACAAGTGACCAAAATGCCAATTTGTTTAATGTGGATTAACGCAGTTACCGTGCTGAGCCCTCTATACAGGGTGAATAAAAAGTCAAGACCCCCCCTCTAATATTTTTCCAAGTAAATATACAGAGATATCCTTTTGGTGGTGAAACAATCTTAGCAGGAAGTTTCATTTTATCATTTTGAAATTGTTGAGTGTCCCCCCAAAAGGGGGGATTTGGGGGGCAACTCAAATATTTTAAATGTAAACCCCCTTCGAGTGACACCTCATTTTGAAGTGTTTACAAAAACTTGAAGAATGGTGAAAACTAGAGGTCGCTATCCATTCTCTATCCAAAATGGTAGCCTGTCAAATGTTGTGGAAAATCAATGGTAAAATTGTTAATATTGGCTGTCATTTTGGATAGAGAAGAGATAGCGAGCTCTGGTTTTCACCATTCTTTAAGTTTGATTAAACACTTCAAAATGAGGTGTCACTTGATAGGGGTTTCTATTGAAACATTTTTAGTTGTCCCCCGAATCGGGGCCTTTTGGGGGACACTCAAAAATTTTAAATGTAAATCCCCTTCAAGTGACACCTCATTTTGAAGTGTTTACAAAAACTTAAAGAATGGTGAAAACCAGAGCTCGCTATCTCTTCTCTATCCAAAATGGCAGCCAATATTAACAATTTTACCGTTGATTTTCCACAACATTTGACGGGCTACCATTTTGGATAGAGAAGAGATAGCGACCTCTAGTTTTCACCATTCTTTAAGTTTTTGTAAACACTTCAAAATGAGGTGTCACTTGAAGGGGATTTACATTTAAAATATTTGAGTTGCCCCCCAAATCCCCCCTTTTGGGGGGACACTCTACAATTTCAAAATGATAAAATGAAACTTCCTGCTAAGATTGCTCGACCACCAAAAGGATATCTCTGAATATTTACTTGGAAAAATATTAGAGGGGGGGTCTTGACTTTTTATTCATCCTGTATATTTTAAGCCAGCATAATGTTTAAGACCATAGATGAACTTAAATCCCAACTTCTAGTTTGTCTATCGCAAACATCTGTCGAATCTGCAATACCCAGATGTCCCTGTTTGCTGGTTGTTGTGGTCTGTCACTAACGTGTGAGGCTTGTCACACTTTGTTTGTTGTCTGCCGTGTTTGTCTGACATCACATCATCAAATAATGTAAATAACATCTCATTTCATCATCACATCAACATAAGAGGATGTGCGTTGGTGGTCCCAACACATTCAAACACTAACCATTTGATTTGTCTAAATGTGTTTTGTCCGATTTTGACTTTTGATCCCCAGGTTCCTAGGTTTTTATATTATATGGTATTTGATAGTGTAATTTATTTTTGTCGAGGTCAAACAAAGGATATCATTGGGAAAATTATGGAATTTTACCGTAGCTTGAGTATAGGTGATTTTTTATCAATAGTAAAACATTTCCTTACTTTTGAAAAGATGTTTAGACATATTTAATACAAATACTCTTAGAATTATGACAACGCTAGAAGGATGGTAAAAAAATAAATCCTATTTTCTATCATTTTGATTTTTAAGCAAACTGAATTTCTATATTTTGGAACTAGAGATCAAAACGCTTCATTTTAATACCGAATTTTTCGTTGGGTCTAAAAGCCCTGTATAAAAATAGAAACTTTTGATTGGAGAACCTATTCAGGAAATAGTTTACAAATTGAGATGTTTTTCATAGCCTGAACACAAGGATCAATTTTTATTTGTGTTCAAAAGTTTAACGTCAAAAATTGCAAACAATTATAGAAATATTTGTTACAAGTTTACTTTTTTTATAAGGCTGAAGAAATTTTCAGTCCAAATGAGTCTATGAAACTCCTAATTCATAGACGTATGTGAAGAATTACAACTATGTAATTTTGACAATCACTCTTCATCCCCACCAAACATTATTCATATTGCTATTGCGACAATGTTTTATTGTAATTTCGTATCCAACCAAACTTGGTGAGGATCCTCTTATGTTCAGCTTGTAAGGTTTGTAAGTTATCGCATGTGTTTGTGTGTGTGTGCGCCTGCCAGCTTCTTCAGAACAAGCATCTCCCGGCGAAGTGGACGCCGTGTACCAGGTGCTCAAACAGGCTACGGAGATATCTTCGACTCGTAACCCCCCCGCCCGGCGGGTCCAACAGGGGCCCCCGCTCATGCTACGGGGCGCCTCCACCCTCACTGTGGGGCCCACCCCCCACGCTTCCAGCTCAGGTCTGCCAATCATACTGTACTTTACAAATCTCTGCACATCCACTAATTTTATCTGATCGCACACAATTTAACACTAACATGCCACAGCTGTCTGATTAAACTCTACGATAATTTAGTAAATTATTTACACTCCAGTAAAGCGTCCAGCCCAGGTTGGCCAATCGTAATGTACTTTACAAATCTCTACACATCCACAAATTTACCTGATCACACACAACTAAAATTAACATTGTGTAGGGTGTATTTGTTATATGGAACAGCAATACAATTGGTGTGAAATACTTTCTTGTATTATGTTGAAATAAACCAGAGAGAATTAGTAAAACGTAACTGAACCTTTTTACTAGAAAATTATCTGTGGTCATATAATTAGTCATATTTCATGACAAATTATTGTTTGTTAAAAGTACACCGAATTTTTGAAGCAGAGGGAGATGGCAAATATTACGTGAAAGCAAGAACAACTGTTATTTATGAATTTTGCAATTAATTATGACTTATATTGTAATTTCAAAATTTTTGGCCGTTGAGAATTGAACTTTACTACTACTGTAATGGTAAAATTTTATTTAGGTAATTCATGGTACTTTTAGTACTTACATTAATTAACTATTCTGGGTGGCTTCAAACAAAATATATAGGAGAATTCCAAATATGTGACAACTTTAAATTAACATTTTTATAGCAGGATATATAAGGTATCCTCAATAAGTAAAATACAAAAAATTTCAAACATGCCTACGAAAACAATTAGAATCTAGTATATTTATGTAAATATTTATGAGAAAAAGCATAAAATGTCTTAATATCAGATAAAACCAAAATAATGTACTGTATAAAAAGTGATCATAAATTTAAGAAACGTTTCCTCTGTTTGGAAATATAAATGACTACATTTACATTTGACACACTAACTTTGACCTATATGTAAAGGATGTTCATGCTGAAAAAAATTGGTGTTGTACAAAACCTTTTTATACCTGGTATTATCACAGTGACATTTGTACAGCAGTCACCAAAATAGTAGCTTTGTAAAACAAAACGTGACATTTAAACTATATTGAAAATACTTCACCTTACTCTATGCTTATCCTGTTTCATTTACTGCTGAATAAATGCTCAATCTGACTTTTGAGTGTTTTATTTTCATTCGAACTGTTTTTTTGCAGCACAGGTGTGCCAGAATGTATTGTGTTCCAGGTTATGCATCGTGGCTTGCAACTCATTCGCTTTATATGCATGTTTTCTTTACAGGTTGCTGAATTTCTACTTTTCCAGGTCTTGACTTGTTGTTTTTCATACTTCATAACTACGTGTTTTTATTTCTAGCATGGGACATTTGACTGTTCTCAATGTTGTACAGTTCACTTGTGTGCGATTCATGCCTGCGAGTCCGCTTGGACTATTTCTATGTGAATGTGATTTATTTTACAGTTTCATTTTTATATTTACTTCGTACTGTTTTAAGAATGTTCTCTGGACAGCATTTGTTGTTACTAACATGTTTCCTGTTATAAAAAACATGATATAGACTAGAACTCAAACTATCTAGAGTTAAATATTTTATCGTGAGTTAATAACATGTATGTAATGAGAATACATGTTATTATTATAATATGTTACATTGATTTACAAGTAATTAGACTTAATCTGCGAAAACCGTTTTTAATGTACTTAAAATTTGTTTTTTTTTATTTTACTCTTTTCAATCGCATAAGTGATTCTTTATGGTAAAAATTATTATAAAATAATAATATTAGGTTGGTTGAACTTTAGATTTTAGAGATGAGCTTCCCTATTAATATTATATATATTTTTCATAAGTACATTTCTATTATTGTTATAGTTTTGTTTTTAATTAATTTTTTATTCTTTAAAATGCTTAATTAAAAATCAATTAGTTGCGAATTTTTTTACGATTTAGGTCCAGGCAAAACTGTACACAGGAATAGGACATATTCATGGAAATAAAACATATACATTATGCGAATGTCTAATTTTGCAGCATTTTTGAACAAATATCAAGTAAAATGTAAAAATGCGTGGGCCCTCTAAATATTGAATAAAAAGTGCTGTTTGAATGACTTGTCAAAGATTGCAATTCTAATTATTCAGTCCCTTGAGACTAATAAAAATGCAACATTGCTATAGCTCGGCCGCTTAGAAAACGACCTGCGCGCTAATGGTAAACCAATGCTGGAGGAGGTCGTTTTCTAAGCGGCCGAACTATAGTTTTTTACATGGGTTGTTATCGTTGTAACTATTAGTTTTATTTATCTTAAAAACTTGTTTGATACAGTTATTACTTGGGACGGTAAAAACTTTAAATGTGTATGGCCATGTATTATATAATTGCATTTCCATGCACAAGACATTATTTAAATAAAAGTTATTATCAATTTCAAGACAGAATACTCTCACTTTAAACAAGTCGTAATATTTAACCTATACTGTTATTTTTACTGTTTTACCTATATAATTTCAAAGTATGAATTCTCTTGGGTGTTTAATTAAATTGTAAGAATTTCTGAATACTTTTGTTTTTCTAGTGGCTTCATCTGTTACTTTCTTATACCTACAATATATAGTTATCAAGGGGGTGGGTTTTCTCATAAATTAAACCAATAACCAACTATTAAACTATCTCATTAATATATTCTTCACAAAAAATATACACAAAAACAACTATCGATATTATCTTCATTTTAGCGACAAGCGAGTTATATTCAATGGAGTTTACCGGCGAAAAATTCGGGTAGGGTAAAAAAAATTTATGTAGTTCTCATAAAAGGACAAAAAAGGGGCAATTGAAGGTTTTTTTTAACAATGATAATTTTAACTAAATTCTAAAATACCTTAACGACTATAATATTATTTTAATTAGACAGCTGCATTTCATAATCACGACTGTAATAATTTTGATATGATATAAATTTCGCAAATATGCAGCCAAATCGCACTTTTATCTGATAGCCATCCCTGTATAATCAAATTCCCTTCGACCCACTCCATATGTTATTTTACAAATACTAGCTCAAATTCTAAACTATCAGCTCCTATCAAATTCTATTAGCTCCAAAAATTACAGCCATTGACGTTGCTCTAGCTTAGAACTAGCGTACCTAGTGAATCGTTTAATATCCTTTGACATTTAGTTCTTATTTTTAGTTCTTGGGAGACCTCTTCACCGAATGCAACAATCGTCAATGTAAAAAGCGAATAAAAATTTGAAATGTAGGTTTTGTTTTTAACTAGGTGTGTATTCATTAATTTTACGATTCTTGAAAACTCGTTAACATCCATATGGAACAGTTTAAAAATTTACGTCTTATTTAATATTCTGGTGTGTAAACTTTGATTTTTATGACAAAAGTTACATAACAGTAGATATATGAAAGTACATAGCAATAGATAGGATTTTGCGCACAAGTTTAACGAAATCCAAAACGTTTACTTATTTTTAGGAGTTAATTTCATATATCACCCTTCTTAATACTTATGAACCGAAACATTTTGAAATATTTGTTATTTGCTTATGAGGTTGGGGCTTTTAAAATCTTAATCTCACCTTACAAAATTGGTTCCAGGCTTGTGGGAAGTATCAATCAAAAACAAGGGATGAGTCGATACAATACCAAATAAAGGAGGCTTATAAATATTTAGCGGTGAAACTGGGACCAAACCCGTTTTGCGGATTTGCAGTTTGTTGTAATATCGACTGATATATTCACAATTTCAGATAACTTAACGCTATTTCTTGATCTGGATTTACTTGATGCCTAATTACCTAAAGCTTTTGGGCACCAACGACTATTTAAACATGTGTTTAGCTTAATCATTCTACGAAACAGATGTACCTTGAACTGATCACCTTCATTCGCTATTTTTCCCAATAAAAGTAAAAATAATAAAAACTGTGTATTTTCTTTGAAGTTAATTTATGAGAAAGAATCTACGATAGTTTTTGTATACTTTTCTATGTGAAATTATAATGATAAGTATGTGGTTTAAACAGTTTATTGGTACGAAAATATTTATTTGAATTTGTTTTTTTCAGTGAGACACTATTTAAGATATTCAGGTACATAAATGTGTAGAGTAGACTATAGATAACACCTTCAACAAAATAGAACATCAACCACAATCACACATTCCATGTATGTGATATGGTTTGAGTGAACTCAAAACTGTGCAAAACAATACAATGTATTTACATGTATTAAACTAAACAACCGCACTGATTAATTATGCTTTTATGTAACAATATTAGTTTATCAATAGGTTAGATAAAGTAGTATGTAAAATGTAAACAAATCTTGTATTCATGTTTTGAATTCACTCTACCTATAGTTATATACCAGTAGATATATCACCTACACTTTAATCTACCTTAAATATATTAAGTGCAAGTGCGGCATATATTTTAATAACCCTAAAGTAGATAGAATTTAAAATATATATATATATATACATATACGGGAGGTCCCGGAACTCTCTACCAATATTTTAGGGCATTGCTCCTGTGTAAGAAACATAACTAAATATCATATTTAAACTGTCCGGAAGTTCTTAGTTACTCACACAGCCGCCATTTTGTTTTTTTAAGTTCATAATTTTTTTCTAAAGAATGGTTAAACATACGAAATGGAAACTTTGCACAAACATTTATGACAACTAGACAAAGCTACCAAAAAATTATCACGATTTTTCAAACTCATAAAACAAAATGGCAGCCATTTAATTTTTTTTAATCAATGGTTTTTGAGTTATTTAAGAAAGAAAATTTTAAATGGCCGCAATTTTGATTTATGAATTTGAAAAATCTTCATAATTTTTTTGTAGCTTTGTCTAGTTGTCATAAATGTTTGTGCAAAGTTTCCATTTCGTATATTTAACCACTCTTTAGAAAAAAATAATAACTGAAAAAAACAAAATGGTGGCTGTGTGAGTAACTAAGGACTTCCGGACAGTTTAAATATGATATTTTGTTATGTTTCTTACCCAGGAACATAACCCCCCCCTAAGTGTGCCACCATTGGGATCTCAGTAACTAATGATTTTACAGCAAACTTTAAATGGGGAACATTCTCTTGTTTTTAAAGAAGTTCAACAATAATTAAATAACATTTTTGTAAATGGCCGCCATTTTCCAATATGGCGGTCAACTTTGAAATTTCTTATGGAACACCCTATATTTTATCATGTTTTCAGGTAGAACATGCAATTAAAAAACTTTTTTATACTTGACATTTTTTCGATAAACCCACTCTTTTAGGAGTTACAGCCTATGGAAAAATGACTTCCGGTGTACATTTTACATCATGTAGCTCCCAAACAAGTAGGTTTATAGCGAAAATGCGGAGAGTAAATAAGTCTTAAAATTGCATCCACATTCCAAAAAGATCCTAAAATTCGTTAAAAATATTAATTCTATTATTTCAAAAATGGTGGCAAACTTGAAAAGTGGAAAACTGTGTATTTTATGGTCTTTATGGAATGTGGATGCAATTTTAAGACTTATTTACTCTTCGCATTTTCGCTATAAACCTACTTGTTTATGAGCTACATGATGTAAAATGTACACCGGAAGTCATTTCTCCATAGGCTGTAACTCCTAAACGAGTGTTATAGTAAATTTGAGGTCATTAGCTGTAAATTTGTCTTTCTTATAAACATCTCACATAGAGCTTCACCAAACAAATTGTATTAATGTTTACCAAAATATATTTGTTATAGTTTTACACCTTATATTTTCCTACATAACTATCCTGTTGTCTAAACTATTGAAATGTACAAACACAAATACTTTGTGAATGGATCAAATAGTTGAATACCTCGGTAAGTGATGTTCTGGTGTGGTAACAAAATAAGATAAATGCTGTTTTGGATCCATCTTACAAATTTATTAAATGTACAAAACCTTTTGTTTTGAGAATAAGTAAGCAAGAAGTAATAAAGAAAATTATAAAGGTGCAACCAGACGAATGATGTAGGTCATCACACAGGCAAAAGAGTACTACGAAACAACTATATACACCATAACGGTTTAGGGATAACTTGTGTGTAACGTGGCTGTTTCTTTAATATGTTTAGAAATCTTAATTTCTTATTAAATATTTTAAAACTTCCTCAAATTAGTCACACTCCCTATGACCCATATATCATTTCCTTCATTTATTTAGTACTTTTATTTTATTTCATTTTCTGAACCAGTTACAGTTTTAGTACTAATCGATACATTTATTACATGAGATCACGATTCTAATACAGTTACAGTTATATAGTTCAAAAATACAATTTTGATTGTTAAAGAGAGTAGGTCTAAGTTTAGTAAGTAGAGAAGTTAAATTATTTTAATTACAAAAGACTAATAGGATCTTCTCATAATTGATTTAAAGCATTTGATTGTGTATTGTATAATCCGTTAACTGTGTTACAGTTAAGGAGTTTTTTGTTCATAAACCAAAAGACACCATCTTGCAAATTTAATTGATTTCAATTCAATTATTTGAAGCCTAATGTCTCATAAAATGAATGTCTATCACTTTCAATCATGATAGTTTTAAACCAAATTAACATGTACAGATTTTATTATATATCTAGTAAACTGTTGTAATAAATTATTTTACCTCTATGTGATCTTCAGAATGAATCTTTTCAACTAACATATACCAATGTAAATACGTCTGTAGAAAGAAGTAATGTCTGTCATGTAATATATTGTGTGCTTTGGTTTCATCTTCAACAACACTTTATTAATATAGAACAGAAATACACTAGCCTATATAAACACTTTTTATATTTTAAGTTTTACTGTAAATACATTATTTATCGAAATATTAATAACTATTATTAACTCAAACGTTAATAACTAACTCTCAGAAAAGTAGTTTCCTGTAATTGATTCATTTTCTCATTTATAAAACGAGATTACTAACACATGATTAGTGTAAAACCCCAATAACATTACATTTATAAACAAGTTGGAAAGTTTATAAATATTTGGTCAATTATGAATTATAAGTTCACAAACCGAAGTTTAAAAATGGTATATTCATTCGTATAAAAAAGTCAAAAGATATTGTATATGTTACTCATGCAACACTACATATAACCCATTTATTTTGTTTAAGACGAACTCTAATTAAATGCAGTATCTTTGTTTTCAATTTGCTATGAAAAATAGCTTTGACAATGAATCCATTAGTCAATGATAATAGGCATTCAACTATGGTAATTTGTGTAGTAAGCTCAAAATAAGATGTTTTATACCTTTGTAGTACATCATAAGTAGACCTGTATTAGAGTCAAGAATAACTATTTTAACTATTTGAAACATTACATCTTTGGTATCTTGAGACGAATCACTCAACATCAATTTCAAAAATATGAGTGAAACATGTCAATTTGCATACAAACTTTGCAGTTTGTATCGGAATACTACAAATCTAGAGTGTATTCTTAAGCAATGGTTCGGATGTAACATGTAGTCCATGGTTCCTAGATTATGGGGTGCCGATGCCACTTCAGCCAACCAACGAAGCAGGTCGAAAACGACGGTTGTTTGGAGGAGTTCGCAGTTTTTCGGTGTTTGGCAATAGGTCATCACACGGCCGCTCTATCTCACTACCCGAAAGTAGGCATTTACCTCCCCTTTGGTGGATCCACCCTTGCTAGAAACACTGTACTATACACCTGAATGTCAAATCTGAGAGTGGTTTGCTTGCCAGTGAGAATTTAGATTAACAGCGTACATCGACGAACATTCACTTCAACACATTGTTGACGTTTGTTTCTACCTTACAGTGCAACGGAGTAGAGATGTCGATTTCATGCTCTAGATGCTGAAGCAGTCTTTCAGCTGGTTTGAGTTTGGAATCGATATTTTTTACTGTTTCAGTATGAATTGTAAGGTATAAACAAATATTTATCAAATTCAGCACGAAGTTTGAATCAAACGGTTCTTTGCATTTGGGGTTCTAGTCTAAACTGCTCATGATATAATAATCTCTACATTCAAAGTTTTACTAGTTCAAAAGTTTCTCGGACATATAATTTCAAAAACCTCCTTGTATTAATTTATTTTGTGTTTACTATTAAAGTAAAATTTTAAAAGCAAAATTTAGTTACAATGAACAAACCAATTTAAAATTATTGTTATCATTTGATTGTTTCTGTATTACGGTTTTGTAGCTTTTTACTCCCTTTTGCAAAATTATGTCATATATTCAACAATAAAGAGTTACAAATATATATTGGATAGGTTGTTTTATTTTAATTTTTCACTGCCAAAAAATAACATTTAATAATTTTAAAATAACATTTGCTTTTAAAAATATAAAAATATATCTCACTAATCAACATATTCAAGACTATTACCGCCAGGCAGTGTAGATTTGACCAAACGGTGCAACAATTTAGGGACTAAAGATATCATAGTGAAAAAATACTTTTCCCCGTTTTTTATAGTTAGTTAATTTACAGAAATAGCGGGGCGCCAAGGCCAACACACCTTTAATCGTTGAAAGTCTAATACATCCTTGCTTTTGTTTTGTGCAAAAATCATATTTGATTGATATTTTCAAACAAAAACTAATTTGCTTTATTAGTAACGCTGGTAAACTGATTTCTTCAAACATTGAGGAGTTACATAGTAGACTTCAAACTTAAAAGAATGCGAATGCAAGCCACACATCTCTATTCTTTGTTTTCTGACCTGACTTTAATCAATTAACAACTTAAGGATCAGTATGCCCTTCATACCATCTAATAATTTCCAATATTAATACCTAACATTTCTTCTCTCATGATATTGTTTTCAAACGTTGTCACAACTAAACTCTCACTCTACCCGTTTGTCTGTGTTCTGTTATGACAGAAATTATGTGTTGTTGCTTTTATATGTTTGTTTGTACATTATACATGTTAGATTGTATTTTATGTATAAGAAATTACAATAGTTTAAAAATGTATCAACTAAATTTAATGTAGCTGTAAAGTTGATTTTTGTACTTAGTTACTATTGTTATAAAGTTCGAAGGAGAATTTTCTAAATTGATTTGTCGAATCGAATTCTGTATT